TTTAAAATTTTTTCAATTTATTTTGAAAAGCAGGAGTGATATGTAGTTTTTTCTTAAAATTATTTGATTAATTAATTTTAAAATTTTCACTTCTCTTTAATTAACTTCAAAATTAAAAAGTAAAAATTGTCTTTATTTGAATTTTAATTTCATCTAATACTTTTTGTGATCAAGCAATTTGATACACAAGTTTTAAATAATTTCAAATTAGCCTTTTAAATTTTATCAAATCAGTCTCTTAACTTTTAATTTGTTGTAATTGTGCGTGCATGTTCTTGATTTTCTTCATTTTCTTCAATTCAGTCTAAAAAGTTTTCAAATATTAAAATTTTATTCATTTACTTTTCAAGTTTAGTCAATTGAGATCTAAAGAATAAATAAGTTGAATTAAAACTCTAAAATATGCAACCTTATTTTACATAAGAAATTGTAAGGTATGCATATACCTTTCTTCACTCCTACCTAAACTCCTAAATCCCAATCTTTATGTAAATTATTTTAGATGACTTGTTTTATCTGATAATTTGAGCAATTTGACGAGTAAAACGATTGCAATTTTTTTAATCATTCACACTTAATTTTTTTCTTAAACTTATTTTTGAAAAATTTTTAAGCAGTCATCAATAAGTAGCAATTTATATAGCAATATGCCAATTCATATTCTACACCCCACTCTCTTTCATTTGATGTAGCAGTAACTAGGACTTATGTGCCAATTTGAAAGTAAAAGCGCCTTACCCTGCACTTGGTCAAACATTCTTTCCAGTACAGGTCCATTTCTAAATACTTTCTCATTTCCAGTGTTCCCATATTTCAAGTGTTCAATATTTGTCCATATATACCAAAGAAAACCAAACCACAACCCAACCTAACCGTTAACACTATTTAAGAAGCACATGTCCTTATGTTGCACAAATGCATTCCAGCAATTTTCGGCTTTTACTGTGTCTTAGATACTATGACAGAATATTTAGAGTACTCTATATGAATTACCGAAAGAGTTTCGCACTTATAGAGGTATACGAAATCTTCAAATAATACACATCCGCCAAATATTTCTTGCAGTTACAATACATGTAAAGCACACTCGTCTATTTACTAACATAAAATAACAGAAATTCTATCCATCTCTTCCTTTTCCATGTTGATGTTCATTTACTATCAAAGATGCCTGGTGCAAAAGTCAAAGTTTCAAGCTCAACAAGAAAAGGAAACAGCAACAGAACCCAGATAATGACTGGAACACCAGCAAACAAAGTTGTTGGTATGATTATCCAAAAGTGACCTTGTAGCATAATGAAAAGAGCAACACAAAATGCTACCATCATTGCTGCAATAGAGATGAAGAGTGAAGATATGCCAACAATCAACTTCACGGGTAAGGATTTATAGAAATCTTCATAAGCATAACGTGAAGCAAAAATCGCCAAAAAGATTAGCACCGAACTAGTTGCAGCAAAAAGAGAAATTGCATCTGATACTACAAATAACATGAACGGCAGGATTGGAGAACATACTGTAGAAGAGTCTGTTGTTTGTTAAAAAATATAGGGAAGCCTGTATTTTGATCATTCCCACCAGGAACAGTGAAAGCCACAGCAAACATAATTCCAATGATTAGAGTAGCTACGACTGAAGAAGATTCTGCTGTTTTCTTCACCCATTCTTCCGCTTCTTTTAGCAACTGCTTGTGTTCGTTAACAAACACTTGGGAAGGAGTTTCACCATTATTGTTTTTACAATAGTTGTAAAACTGTGGAACAATGCCTTTCACTGCCTACATTAATTTCAAAATATTATTCTAGATGTTCGGTGTGACACTTATTATTAACATACAGAATTAATGGAGCCACATGTGACATCAAAATATTAAATTTACTAATTGACAGAACATATAAAAGAATGAGATGCTTACCTTGAACCAGCGTAGCTCACTTTGCAACCGAGCTGCCCTTGAGATGTGATCAAGGTCAAAACGAGGAGCTAACTTTGCTGCTAAATGTAATAAATTGTTTCCATCTTGATCGTCGGTATATTTGTATTAACTTTTGCAATTTCAATTGCAATCTCAGGGATGCCATTCTTGATAGCTTCAAAGGTTGCTTCCACTGCTCCAAAACTGATAATTTTTGACATATAAAATGCATAATCTCACGGGCAATTGCATCCATCAACTTTAAATCATATATTTTCGTTGCTGTTGAAAAAAAAAATATTTTGCTTCAATTCTACTAATAAGAATTAAGAACAAAAGGCCGAAAAAAAAAAGAGAATTAATAACAGAAGCTAATTAGGAAAACGAGAAAAAAAAAAAAGGAAAAGGAAAAAAAACTCATTTGATGGACATTATTGCTTTCCAAGAAATTTGGATATTGAAACCAGAGACCCTGCCATTAATGAGTTATATTCATAATTTTTTTTTTAAAAAAAAGTTATTTAATTGGTACAATAAATTATTGCCTTTCTATTTACCAACAATCTCTACAGAAATTATTAGTGAGAAAAAGGAAAGAAAACTTATAGGAAAATGATGTGCACACTCCCTATTGAAAAAAAAAAGCGCCCATCACCACCCGATTCAATTTTTTTTTTATGTGGGGGTGTGCACCAATCAAGGCCCAAACTCATAACTACTATACCTCCTCGTTGAGCTGCAACACTGCCAACACCATCAGATAGAACACTTCCTTTATCTACCTTCACTCTTGTACCTTCAGTTACAATTGCAATAAAAAAATAGCATTTAATACACTAAAAAGTAAAAACTTCAGAAAAGCATATTGGAAAACAAAGAAAGATGGCATGCACAACATGCCAAAATACTCTATTTTTTAGACGAAAAATATATTAAAAGAGAAATTATGTTAAAAATTAAAGAGAAAAAAATAAGCGATACTAACATTTATATATCCATCGTCTCCAAAATGCTAGCTGATTTTCTCTAACAAATGGTGGTGGTGTTTGAGCAAGAGTTAAAAGAATCGGTTTGGTATCCTTCTTAAAGATTTTATATATTCCAAACTTTGGAGAGCTGTGAAGGAGATGGAGTGCAATATCTGATACATATCAAATTAAGTATATATATTTATTAGAGGAAAACGAAATAGCTAAATTATACAAAGAGAGAAGATGAATGTTAGAGCTCTCACCAAACATTTTCTTAGTTACACACTCTTCGAGGAGGTAGAAGCCCTTGACTCCCCTTAGACATTTTGTCGGTGTTTCGCGGTAGAGGTAGCGAGCCATGTCCCCATGGCCTGCCCTGCAAGCCAATTGAACTGGGAGCCTATCGTTGCCATCTGGGATATTAAGCAAGTCCTTGTTCTTTTCAATCAAGCATTTTGCAATTTCCATCATTCCACTACGAGCAGCAAAGGAAAGAGCTGTGTTGCCACTCTCATCTTTTATCTTCAATTGGCAACTGTTTGCTTCAGTACCAGTAATAGTGATCAATTCCTTAGCAACCCTTAGCTGACCAGCAGTAATTGCAACGTGAAGAGCAGTTTTTCCATTTTCAAATGTTGTAGATATTGCATCTGGGTTGCTTTTAAATAAGTCGCTTACTTCCCTAAACTTCCCTTTGTAAATAGCGTTAAGCATGGCATTTGCAAAT